TTTGATTGCTTACAAGCTAAACTTCATCACGAGTCAATGTCAATTAAAGAAATAGGGGAAAACGGTCAGTTCTTTAATCCTGTTTTTCAGACTCTTCAACAGCATGTTTCCATGCTTCCATGAGGAATAAAACGTAGAACTGTCATGTTACATGGTGGTGTAATGCTTCTTGTGTTTTCGCAGATTAATATTAGTATTTAAGCAAGTTCAGAGAGTCGTTTTTTTCACCTACTGGACATTTGGTTTTAATAACAGAACATAACTCGTGCAGTGTAGCATCACGATACTATTTGTTAGTAGAACTGTTAATTTCCATAATAATGTACAGTTGTGACCAGATTCAAGTACCAATACACTGAAATCTCTATTTGTATAGATATTCTTTATATTATGTGTACTTCTTGTGTCATCCTTTCATGTTTTCTATGTTGTTTCACAAAGGTCTTTAAAATCTCCTCTTCACCGGTTGATCCATCGCTTTACTATCTAGTTTTCTTTCAGAAGACAACACACACACACACGTACAATATATTAATTGTGAAATCTCAAGACAGCATTGCTAACTGAATGGAACGCTGAATTAGCCATAACTAACAAAACAGCTTAGGCATGTAGAAATATCAACCTCTTGATAGTAGCATTCAGTATCAGTATCAACTCTTATTGCATGTGAACTTTACTTCCGTTTTGATAACAAAATAATTAAAATATGTATTACTCTTTAAGTCATATGATAAGAGGAATGTATTTCTCTTAAAAAATTCAGTCGTTTGGGAAATATTATAGACAAAATTGGTACTTTTACTAGTAGTTACCCTTCAGATATATTTAAGCCATGTTTTTTTGTTTGTTTTTTTAAAGAAAAGTGCTGACCTGGAATTTGATCGACTGATAAAAACAGAATAGCTCCATGCTCCATCTACTCTCGACTTAGGAAACATGTAATTGGTCATGTTTACTACAGGGTTGAGCACAAGTTGACATTAGTTATAGAACCATTTGAAATCAAGGCGGTACTAGAAAGTACTGGAAATTGCGTAGTAATTTGGGACTCATATTTATGAAAATAATTATATTAAGAATATGTTATGTTAAAGAATGCTGATAAAGTTTCAGACTGATTGTTTTCTACAATTTAATATTGAGACAGAGTATAAACGATGAAAAATTGATAAATGTTAGGCCTTAAAATGACTACTTAAACAGAATTGTTGTTTGTTTTATTCAAAATATTAAAGGGGATTTTCAGATGTAGCAGTAATAACTGTGATAATTTTGTAGTTTTCATTCAAAATTGAAGAGAAAGAGAGACCACTTCTTACAATACAACCTTCACTGCCTGTGTTGGTTTCTGAGTACTACTGACTTTTAGAAGACGCTTTGATTTCTCCTGCCTTGCCACGGGACATTAGATTGAAGCTAGAGAGAAAAACAGTTAAGATATATACGGTTATTTCGTAAATCCATGGGAGAGATGTTCTAATTTCAAACAAAGAAACATTATTTAGGCTATGACGAACCACTTGTCTCCTACCATACTTTAGAAAAAGTAGATCATTAAAGAATAGAGACCCAACAGATACAAACGCACCAACCCTGAGTATTTTACATCAAAAATAGGCAAAATTTATGAAATAAATGAATAACTAAGCATGAAAATGTTTTATACATGACAACTTTCTCCGACATTTTGCAAATAAGATATCCTAGTTTCACATCGGATACTCAGTAAACAGATGCATTCAAACTCTGTACGTGTATTCATCTAGATAGCTGTAGATGATGTAATTCTGAGACACATTTATCATCCTTATCATGCTTTTCAACCTTTTCGAAAATCCCTTATTGAATTAGTATGAGTACTAATGGTTAGGTCTACGAAATCCACAGAACGGTTAACTTAATGATGAATACAACCCGCCATTTTCATTAGCATCAACTGTGGTTTCTGGATTCACCAACATTATTACTATAGGGTTTAAAGTCGTCGACTTCCAGTTCAGTATTCTTTCAGTAAACTCTTTCCGTAAATATTTCTTCGTATAATCCAAGTACCTTTAAGGTATCGGCTCTAGCACAACCTCAACTTCACTTATGTTTTATCAGGATGGTTTCATCTATGTACATCACCACACTATGTTCTAACAATGAAGGTAAATTCTCAATTTTCCACAAGGCAATATTTGTTCAATGCTACTACCACTGAACTGTTGACACAACAAATTTCTCAGTTTCAACAGTTTTAACTGTGGTAGCATGTTAATTTTTATTCCAATTAATCCAACATTCGATCCACCCTGGAATGCTTTGTTCTGAACAAACTTAACACCCTCAGGTCTTCTAAAGAAATCATTTGACTTGAATCGAGCAGATTAATGGGCTGTACACACGTGAAGAATGTGGTTGGCTGCTTTCAAATCCACAAAGTGCTTTCACGTCTGTTCAGCGTCTATTAATTCACTTGTTCAATACAAAAACAAGGCATAAACTGAATTTAGAAGTCGAGGAATTCAGAAGACAAAAGAAAAGTGAAATAAGTACCAAGGGAATAAATGAAATCTAAAGAATACGAAACAGATATGCTTGATTTTTATCATTTTTTGTTTTTGCCTCAGGCGTTCATCATTTTGTGCATAAGCAGTTTTTCTTAGCGAGTAGAAGCTTGCCACCATTGAAACGCGAAATATGGTAATGTTCCCATAGCATTTGCATTATAGAGACTTATTTTTGACTAAGTGGTAATAATTTTCCGCAAAAACTGTTCCAGCATTACAGTTTAAAGTTGCTCATAAATAATCAGTGAAACAAAATACCACTGATCAACATCTGGCCCTGCAAAGACATAATTCGTTCCCTTAGCGTCTTAAAAGGAACATAGAGTCTCACACTCTTAATCCTTCAAGCTTCAGTAGCCTCGGTGTTATTTTTACAGGGTGAGGTTGCCAGCCTCTCTTCCGTCTTTTCCGGACTTACTACAGGCTAGGAGAGGTTTAGGAGTGAGTCGGCTGAGGACTGAACCCAGACTACGCACGTGGCTGGTAAGCATGCTACTCCTGAACTATAGATATTGTGGGAGCAAATTGCAAATCTCCTATTGTTTCTTGAAGAGATAGAGGGAGAAAGGGAGAAACCTCGTTAACTGTTTTGTGGTCACTCTCTTATTTTTGTCTGAATATAATTGTTTCAGTGGTTTTTTGATATGAAAAAAAGAGTGATGGAAAATACAATCTTCCCATAAGGTATCAAAGTCCTTTTTTGTAAACAGTACATTAGTTAGTTCTTTCTGTCAAATAATTTCATTTTAAGCAATACTGATGGGAAATGATGAGTTGGGCGTAAGTCCGAGTGTCACATAGAGGAGCTTGTGAGAAGAGAAGGATGTTAAAAATTATCTCCAATTATCGAGTCAGGTAAGGAGGACTGCAGAGAACAGAGTGAAATAGAGACGGGCTGCTGGAGTGCTTTGTGACAATTTGAACCTAAGTGTCTGATGAGACCTGGAGAGACCTTACGATTCTGTCAAGGTATTATTAACATTAAAATTTTATATTCACTTCTGCTTTGTCGGCTGTCAGTGTCAGTAAATGTCATATTTCTCATGCCACTACAAAAAGTACAATCATCACCTGTGGTGAGTTACTATTGTGCAATAAGCCATCCGGAATACCGTAAGCTTCACAAACTGATATCAGAGTATCGTTTATACTTGACAAAAACATACAGGTTGCTATAGCATTGATACCGTTGAAACAAAAAAACAAAGTATGATTTGGTAATGGAATTTGACAATTTGACAAAATGATGCACCAATGTGGTGAAATACATATACCATTACACTAAAATCACCATTCTCTGTGTGTGCTTCTTTTGTCATCCTTTCATGTGTTCCAGTGTTTGTTCTCATGGATGTTTCACTTCTTCTCTTCACCATTTAATCCGTCGCTCCGGTATTCATTATCCTTCGAGAAGACATCATGCAATATATTACTTACAAAATCTTATCAGTAGTACTCAGCATACGGTTGCTTACTGGTTTTCTTGTCAACTAGGTTGAAAAGACTCACTGCGCGACTAGGTTTCAGTTCACTATAAGTAGACCTGAATTGAAACAAAGATACCTAGTTGTTTATTTCATCGACCATAGTACTGAACAAGCAGTTGTGTGTAACTGATTTCACTTCCGTGACAGTTGAATGAAACTTCACTGGCTGTGATATGATGAATACTCCACAGTCCCAGTTTGTGGCTCTTCAAATATACGCACCCATAATTCCTTCAGGGACTGAATCCAGGAACTTTTCTCTCTAATTGCCTGATGGGTATTTTCCACAATTTAAAACTGTATCATCAACGAACTTTTATTGGTCGGCCAGTTAAGTACCAAAATGACATCATGAAGAGATATGTCAGGAATTCTGCGGTAATTCAGCTATTTATTCTATATTTTACATTTCAATGATTCTCTAAATGATACTATTTCATGACGAATCCACAATGAAATTAACCCGATTCCCTACAAAAAATATAATTCAAATATCAGTGTAAATTTCAGTGGTAGCTGCTAAATGGGTGGCCCAAAGGCGTACTGAGAAGTCGTGGTCGGCGGGGTCCACCATTTTACAGTTAAGTGGATGCCCATCGAAGACGCTGGTTGACGGTAGCGCAATATCACCAATCGACATAAACTAGAATTCCAGACCAAGTGTCTACTGAACGGTTAACGAACTTCGTTTGGCAACCTGAAGGTCCTGAGTTCGATCCATATAAGGTGGGTCCACGGGTGCTCGATGCTGAAGAGCCCCAAACTAGAGTGAAATAGCTGTGTAGCAAGTCTCTCTGCTGATTTTCAGTGATCTTTAACTAATGTGCTCCCTGGTATATTATACCTAATTCGTAATATTACTGTTTGTCTGATTTATTTGTTGACTATATTTATTTCAAACTATCTCGTTTACATAATGTTCTGTCTCCTCTCTTTCTGGTTTTTCGTGTTTTTGTAGATATTTCCTATCCGTTCCCATCGAACTGTCTCTCTTCTTTTGTCATTGCTACTACTCTAATGAATGAATGAGCAGCGAATACGATCGCTAATCAGTCATTCAGTCGGCTAGTAGAAAAACAATCATTAATTGCTGCTCTCTGTTTGTTGTCTTTTGTTTTTTGATTCTGTACTAAATTATTGTTAACTGAATAACTGTATGTCACGTTTCTAATATATGTGTCTTTGTAGGTGTGTATCGCTGTGTGCATAGACCTGTGCGTAATTTTCTGTTATGCCTTAGCGACTACAATTTAACTATTTGTGTTGGTGTACGTGTATGTGAATGTATGTGTGTGTGTATGTTTATCTGACTTCATTTATTCATATGTTATTAGTATGTTTTTAACCATAAACAACATCAACACCCACTCACCTACTCATACACGTGAAGAAAATAACCAGCATTCTTGTCTTCTCTTTTTTTTTACCGCATACCAGAAATCGTATTGAATTCAGTCAGTCATTCAGTGTATTTAAACAAATAAATATTATCATTATTATTGATTTTTGATGTAAATCGATTGAGTTAAGTCATTGTGAATTAAACTATGCTTATGTAGCTTTAAAAATGTGTTATGTGGCTGTGTTCTCTGAGCTGGGTGATTTAATTGTAAAGTGACAAAAACACTTCGTTCTATGCTAGGCAAACCGAAAGACCTACTTAACAACAGCAAAAGAAGACAAGATCAGCACCATCTACAAAAATAAATTTCATGAAGTGTGATGAGTATTATATTGGTCAGATCAGGAGTCCCCTTCGACTTTGAAATTAAAGATGATACTGAAGCAGAAGTTTCCCGAAAACGGCCGTCAAAACCTTTTAATAAAATCTACTTTGTTTCCAGTCTACGAATATTATCTGCCTGCAAGAAACTATTCGACCAGCACGTGAGAAAAAGTTGCCACATTGGGCAACATCACCATGCATACACCGGTTCGCTTGCTTATGTGAAGTTGAGTACATCGGCAGTAGTACATGTCCATGATCACTACTCAGATTTTGTAGGAAGAACAATGGTATTTTACCTTTAGATTGATAACAGAACATCTCCTCAACTCAGAACCTTCGACGTTTTATGCAAGATATGGTCAGATCTCTCAAGTCCAAGAAATCTAGGCCCACCAAAAGAATTATCGATCCCGAACGGAAATCCTTGTACTGAGTGGAATAATTTTAAAACCACATAAAAAGAGATTAAAGGAATCCAATCCTTTTGACTGTAGTAGAAATGTAATAGACATTTGGAATTAAAGTAGTTATCTAATAATGAAATTGAACAGTTTTCAGCTGGTTTAAGGTGATCCAATATAAGGTGGTCAGTGAGAAACATTACATACATACATACATACATACATTGGCTGGGTAATGACTCAAATGCCGTGTTAGCTGAAAATTCTGAGTTTGAACTGGTACGTAGTTGTGATGTTTTAAACTGCTCAATATTAACTATAACTCAAACAACACAATTGTTTATTACCACGAAGCTTTAGAGAATTCTTAATTAATGAGAATGTAATTGGGAAAAACCAAGAAAACTCAGTCGTGACTTAGGAAACTAAGAGACGGATACTTATGTACAGTTTCCCAGACCAGCGAATTGACACAAGAGACCCAAATTAAATTCCAACGAAACCATAAAGACACTTCAACGTGAAATAACCTGCGGTACTATTCAACAATAATAATTTAAACATCAAAAATACAAAACTGTCCCGGCAATGTCATTTAGCAGCTGCATCGTGCAAAAATTTCTCAGGTATTAAAAATATGTATTGTACAACAAAATTAATTGGCCAAACACAACAATAAACCACCTGAGAATCAATAAGAATATTCCAAAACTTCTGGGATCGAAAATCTGCCTCCAAAAATCGAAGAGAACAAAATATTTTATATAAGACATTCTAAAGTCAAGCAGTCACTCCGTAACCTGCAACCTTGAATTCATTCAAGCAAAACAATAGTTGTAAAATAACACATTATCATCAAAAATGGGAAAAGTAGGAATCAACCGAAAACAAAGACAAATAGTAAGGATTAAGTCAAAAGGAGATGTACAGATGTTAGCTCAACGATGGTATACATACAGGTCAGGGGAAAAAGGGTAGTAATTTCAAAATTAGTTGAAACATCCAAGCAAATATCAACATTGTAAATCAATCCTTCAGACCATCAGTTATTCTGCTACAGCTATCTCACATAGAATAACACTAAGTAAACTTAAATTATGCGTTTTTGTATGGATTCGGGTTAATTTCAGTGAGGATTTCGGCAAGAAATAAAATCAGAAATTCCTTGAAAATAATGGAACACTGGACAGTTGTTTCGTCCCAGTCTGAGGCTATTCATCAGTGCGCATGTACGACCTCAACATGTATCGAACCCGAAGCTTTCACGTTATGAGGTCAAGCTCACTGACTACTCGCCCACTTTAGTCGGAATTCAATAACCCGTGAATTCTAACTTTTATCAATTCGTGTAATAGCTCTACCACCAACCATTGCCTTCAATGTGCACACACTTCACATTGACATGGTGGACCACATTGACTACGACTTCTCAGTACAGCTTCAGAGCATCCATCCAGTAGGTGGCAAAAGTTAGAGGTAATATTTGGATTATGCGCTGACAAAGTTAGAATTTACAGGTCTTTGAATTTTGACCCAAGTGGTTGAATGGTCAGTGAGTTTGGTCTCCTAACACGAAGGTCTGGGAATCGATGCCTGTTGACGTCCTAGGTGCGCACTGAGGAAAAGTCATAAACTGGGAAGAAACAGCTATCCAGTGGTCAGTGGTTTTCAATTGTCTCCCTAAGTGATGTTAATTTCTGACGAAATCTACGCTAAACAAGTAAACTATATGATTAATTCAAATGCAAAATAAAGTGGTTAGAGGTTCTCAGCTTGTGCGCTATGCGGATCAGAAATATAAGACCAAACACTTAGAAATGAAAATGATAAACACTTCGGAAGGATAGTATTTTTGTTTATCCGAATTCTAGTCGAAATATCCATTGTTCTAGGAGATATTACTGTAGAGATAAGCTAATCATATACAATATTTATTGATTTTTCCAATCGATTGGCCGTACACATAGTTAGCTAGTATGAATTAATTAGCCTTCATTAAAACACACAGGTACGTAACCTTAGTCACAGATGTTTCATTCAAAATACGTGTGGTTGTAATTGTCTGTGAACTTAAAATGAATTCTTTAAATGAACACTATGTGAAAGAGAAAAACACGTTTCTCATCTCATAATAACAAGTATCATGTATTATTAATGAGCTCACATCAGTCTGAAGTAAAATTATGACACTTTATACCACTGACTGATTTAGATAAACAGTTGGATACAACTCACATCAACCATTGGTGTTTGCCACCCAGATTATGGAGGTGATCTAAACAATGAACTGTGTAAACTGAGAATATAACTGTTTGTTTTACTAGTTCATCCAGGTCCCCCGACAGAAACTGGAAGGTTTGAACTGACTCAGTTCTCTGAGCTGAGTCAAACCGGGTAAATCGCTGGCCAGCTCAACCACAAATGGGCAAAACAGACGTTCAGTGCTTAGACAACTTCAATAATCTGTCTAGCAAGCAGTACTGGTTGATGTGAGTGGTATAAAACTACTCATCTCAATCAATCAGTAGTGTGCAGTATAATAACTTTATATTTACTTACCTGATTGCTATTTATGGTGTCAAACATAACATACTGTAGTGATCTGAATAACTGTAGTTTCCAAAAGAAACTGCGGTTGAATTTCACCTCAAAGTGTATAAACTGCTTCTTGCGAATATGATTTGATGTAAGTTAGTGGTAATTCTCCTCTATGAGATCACTTACCCTAAGAAATCAATAAAAACAGTGATGACACCAGTGTTACCACTACAAAGAAAGAGAAATATACGTACTGATGAACAGATTTTCAAAATGAGATAGTATGTATTCAAAAGGTTGTTCTCTATTTTTGACGGAAACAGTTGTTTATCAGTATTTTAGTCAGTTTGGCATGAACTACTTAAAAGACAAACAAGATAGGAAGACGTAGAAAAGATTGTTATTAGATGAATGATGGAGAGGATGGAGAACTGTTCATCTAGTGCAATAGAAGTTTACAAAAAGTGGTCAATTGGAAAAAAAAAACAGGATTTAATGAATTCATGAATTTTCAGTAGAATTCTTCTTCATCCGAATACCAAATACACATTGATATATATGTATATATATTTATATGCATATATATATTATATATATATATATATATATGTACAATCAGAAATACATTGGGAGACATATGAGTGATCAGTAAGTAAACTGTAATCAATCAATCATGCAAAATAACAGATACCAATGGTTTACACGTCAAGAACAGATGGATAAGGGGAAAGGAGTATGAGAGATTAGAAATGAGATAATAATAGATTACTGCTCAGTTACATCACATAAATAAACAATTACTTATCAGAGAAAGAACTTAAAAATATTAGGAATTGCAAACAATAATAATAATGATGATAAAATGAGTTAGGATAAGGGTTCCGACAGAAGACAGTCTTAAATAAGTCAATAATGACAATAATAAAGGGTGGAATAAAATCATAATAATCATAGTTAATGAGTAAAATATATTGCCATGGTAGATTCAAAGTGACCATTATTTCCCTCTGTACACACAGACGGGCTTTATAAACTCGAGTTACAAAAGCATCTTTTTGTTTTGCCTGCTGATAATAATGAATGAACTGACAGAGTTAATATTATTTCCGTAGTCTATAAGATGCTTTGCAATTGAACTTTCTGATACCCCCTATTCAGCTTATTTTCAACCACTTAGGCCACTGTTGCACTATGTCAGTAGACCACCACCTTTCTGTACAACCTATGCATTTGCTTCTGCAAACTCATTTGAATTGATTCAAGTAGTGAATAGTGTCAAAGATTACATTAGCTAATTTATTTTTATTTAGCAAGAAAGTATAACAGTTTATTTATCTACTGAGTTTGTATTACCGCATAGAATGCCCAGAATTATTGTGTAAACATATAAATCCTAGGATTTGTACAGATTGACAGCATAAGTTGTCTGTTGAACGGTACACTGCTCTCCAACCCTCTGCTACCGGAACTTCAAAAGCTTGGAGCCTTATTTTCAGTTTGGCATACAACAGATGTAAGAATAAACAGATGGTATCCGTCATACTGTCGCATCGATCCCTGAATAATGAGGTTGGATTTTCAAAACAGTTTTGAATCTGAAGAAAAACAATCATACCAATGATGTGGTAATGTTCACAACAACAAGCATCAGTTTTGGGTA